GGGGAGAAAAAAAAAATATATGTACTTTCTACATATTAGTAGACTCTAAAATCAATTAAATAAGCCTTTGAAACCCCTAAATTGTCAAAATTTTTGGGGCTTCGCCCTCGGGATCACTTTCGAAATCGAAGCTCGACCATCCACGCACACTTTGCTTTCGTCGGGGAAATCTGACCCCTCGTCGGGGCGTCGGTCCCCCTGTCGGGGACCTCGCCCCCCCCCCCGTTGGACAAATCCTGGCGCCACCCCTGATATATTTACTCCTTTTTTACAGTTAGTTAGAGAATATCGTTTCCTGTACGATAAAGTAACAGAAGATTTTTTGAAATATTAGAGTAAAGGGAAATGCATGGTCAGTAGCTAAGACTAATTCAACTGTAGAGAATGCAAGGTAGGAACGTTGGTAGGACTGGTGGAGGTAGGCCTGGTAGGTAGAATTACTCACTAGAGACTAGGTCTAGGCGGGTAGCCTATGAAGCATGGTTTCCATAAAGTCGCTCACCCTATCGGCGGTAGTCGCCGACATATAGCCTATGTCGAGAAGGTTGAACCTGGTTATTATATCTCTATGGGCTTTACTGACAATACGAGTATTGCATCACAGAGCAGAAGGCAGGTTTTAGTGGCGGCCTAGGCCTAAGCTGAGGTAGGGCCTCCTGACAGGAATAGGGTGACAGTATTGTTACACTAACGCTATGTTACTATTTCTATGTGTAGTAACTATTCATTTATTAATATTTATATGGAAACGTATATTAGTATTACAAGTACAAACTGTACAATTTAAACAAATATGTTACTGGATAGGCCTACACTTAGTACTATGAAACTTAATCAATACGTAAAACTTGTACATAAAAAAAAAAACATGTTCCCTTACTTTACAAGTTCAGATTACATATTTTGCCATCAACAATGGTTTTTACAATACAATGAATTAATTATGATAAACCCTAGGCCTATAGTTGACAGTTGCTATACTAATGCATGCTATATACAATATGTCATGTTTATTGATAGTAATTATTCGTTTATTTAATATTCTTATTATGAAAACTCATTATTACAAACTGTACAATTTTAAAATAATATTCATTGAGTAGTCCTATACGCTTAGTGCAACTGTGCATTGAAAGCACATTATAAACACGTTTATTGACCTCACTCACAGGCATAGAACGAGGAATGAGATTGACTATGAATTAATCATGACGTTAACTAATAAAAAATGTCACTTAAATCAGGCAATAAAAAAAGTAAGTGAGGTGTTGCTACTTCAATAATAATACACGACACAGCCACAAATACTACCTACGTTTTTTTTAGTCGATTTCACTTTCTCTACAGACATCAAAATATTTCTATTTTTAATAAAGAAAATCAGAATTTCATGCGTTATATAAAATTGTGTGTAATGGATAATGCCTCATCCTTCATCAAATTAAATATTGTTAAATAGGCCTATGATAACGGTTATTCTCGATTCTCGGTATTAGTATTGCCAAAATGATTGAAAGAAAGTACTGTAATGTTATTTACAGACAATATGTAGATCACACACACACAAAGAAGAAACTTCATTTAACGCCCCTCAACAACGGCATTTGCGTGACGTTTCATCCGTTTTTCTCTGCATATTTTGTTTTTGCGTTTTCCCTCTTTAACGTACATCTAAAAGCAAACACACTCGCCAATAGATTAGAGGATGAACAAGCAGAAATTATAATCATTTTTTTCTGAAGAGGAAGGTTATTCAAGTCACGTTCACCATTTTTTAAAGAAGTACGTTTTTTTCTTTTCTTTAAAGCCCGTGGCTCATCATTTACAACCAGTTTGAATTTTATCCTCGCTTCCGGAGATGGTAAATTATCAAGCATAGTCCTATAACGGCAGTTACAGCAAATAGTACAGCTACGACGATGAAAGCCGGTGAAGGGACCAGAGTGTCAGTTTCCGGCGCCTCGGCTGGGATCATGTTCGTTGCATTTAACATGTAGCCTAGGGCCCAGGATACACTTAAACCATTTACCTGGTGGAAGAAAATGAATTATTGTGGAGTCTTTACTTTCAGAAGGAAAAAGGACAACATCATTTTTTAATTGAAAATGTGTGGGAACATAATCATCGTTGGCGTCGTCTTCGTAAACTCTATCGTCGTTAAAATCGTGCTCACTATGTTCATCATCTAAACCATCATCATCAACATCGTTGTTGTCATCATCGATGTCACCATTGCCATCATTATCATAATCATCATCATTGTCGTAGTCAGTGTCGTCGAACAGGCCTGGACCCCCTGTCGTCCGACGAACGACTAGGATTTCGGATAAAAAAAATTTTTAAATAATAATTTGCTTATCCAAAGAATGTTATTTTGATTGCCAATCCTTAATATTGTGGTCTACAAGCACATTTAGGACCAGTCATAAAGTCATAAGTCATAAAAACTATCCCTGTGTAAACAATACCAGTGATTTTTTTTTTAAATTCCGGGCCGTCGACTGAAGTTTCGCGGCCCCTTCGTTTGGACACCTCCGTCTGACATGTCGGACCCCTTGCCGGCAAATTTCTGGCGCCACCACTGACCACCAGTGTCATCGACGTCGTTTTCTTCATCGGCATCACCGTCACATAACCATCGCCATCGTCGCTTCTTCATCATCATCATTACTATCGTGTCGTCGTGGTGATCTTCAACATCATAATCATCATGATCATCTTTATCAACATCGTCACTGTCATCTTCAACAACATTATCATCGTCATTATCATCAACATAACATCATCTTCATGAACACCATTATCGTCGTCGTCACTATCATAATCAGTTGTTCCCGTTATCAACTGTATGCCTGTTTATCTACATTAGCGATATGAATAATGCCAATCCATTATCTTAATCACATGACTTACTTTTCGTACAAATCTGATATTCCAAGAATCCTCAGTGAACTTGTATCCATTAACGAGTACTGCATAGATATAGTTGGCATTAAAGCAATACGTTTTAACGTATTCTTCTTTATTAGTGTTTTTGACCTATACATTAAAGAGATGTTATAGAGTCTATTTGGAATTACGAACGAATAAGCCTATTATCTACACATTATCTACACAATGATTAATTAGTTTTAACATTGTAATATCGTCATATAACCATCATTATTAAATTGAAATAATGATCACAACAATTACCATCATCAATATCATTAGCATTATCATAATTCCTATCCAAGATTAATCTTGTTATTTATTATTATTATCATTATTATCACCAACGTTAATAATAATAATAATAATAATAATAATAATAATAATAATAATAATAATAATAACAATATATTATTATCATCATCATCATCATCGTCATACCTCGATAGGTACTTGCGTCAATAAACTTGGAATGATGATTTGCTCAACCTGATATATTACTGTTATTGATATTGTTATTAATAGTACAGTATTTAATTCGTTTTATCGTCAGAGTCAAAAATATAGACGTATGGCTATCTAATTAAAATTTCCTAAAACAAGGAATGATTATGTGAATTAGTGAGACTTATTTTACACGTTCATTGCATATATATTGATATTATAATTTGGTATAGGAATTGCGTCTCCATTAGGGTATAAAAGATGTTTATACTGCGTACGGTAGTGTTTGTAAGTAAATGATTGAGAGAAGCTTTCACCAAGAACATGTAGCATGCATGCAAAATAATACTCACATCTTCCCAAGATCTCTGGCAGTAATCAAGTGCACCCTGGTTGAGTTCACTCATGCTGGCAGTCTCCCCCAAACCTATACCAGTTGTTGTGTAGTAGAAACTACTGAAAGCCTATGGAAATTGAACATTACTTATATCATTTTATTCATATTTACACTATTGTTATCCAACCAGTTAGAGGACCTCTTGGTTAGCTTTCCAATTGTGGGTCGCGTTGGCGTCAGAAATTCATGTCCGGCGGAGGGTCGGAAGCAAGGGGCCGACTAAAGCCTCGCTCGACGGCCATGAATAAAAAGTTAAAAAGAGTTTAGGCTTACTATGGTCCACATTGTGCTTTTTAGACCGCAGTGGGAATAGCAATCAAAATAAATTTATTTGGATAAGGTAAATTATTATTTTTTTTTATTTTTGATCCGACGACACTCGTGGCGTCGGACGACGAAAGGAAGGGGGGGGGGGGTCCAGGCCTTTCCAAGGGGGAGAGTATCCCCAGCTGGCGCCACCACCACTGCTAGTCAAGGATTTAAATTACATACGTCGATGGCCTAAATGTCCACACTATGAAATTGTATGCGACAAAAAATATGATATGCCCATATTTTGGTGAAATATGACATAATTATACCAATTATTATGTCCAATAGGCCAGATTTAAAGGCAGCATTGTAATTAGCAGCCTCTTTTTAAAATCTACTTGATTAATTTACACTGTTTTGAGTTGGGTTTTAGTTTTTCTCTTTTTAATTTCATGCATGCGTCCCACAAACTTTCCCATGACTCCTTGTTTGTCACTGATTACTGATGGTGAGTGCTTTCTGCAGGTCTAGGGATTTAAAACTCATGTTTGTCAAAAACATTCCTTTCGACCACCACATCACCGAGTCCCATTATCCAACATCTGCACCAACATTTTATTAATACCCCAAGATACGCCTAATTTGACTTGAAGTCGGACTGAATTATGGTTGAGTCAAAGAATGAAATATATATTAAGGGTGGGGGAGGGGCTGTAGAGCCCGCAAATGTAAACATCTACCACAAATGTAAAAATAACCGCAAATGTAAAAACATGGTACCCACAAATGTCATAACCGCAAATGTCATAACATGTCAACCATAAATGTGAAAAATAACCACAAATGTAACAAACCCACAAGTGTAAAAATCTCTTTAACCACAAATGTAAACACATTTCGCCTACAAATGTAAACATTTCCATTTTTATCTCGAAGTCAACCGCAAATATAAAAAAATCATATTATAAAATAAGCTATTATTAGATGTATGGGTGTGTTTGTGTGCGAGTGTTTCCTAAGCATTAAAATCCTTAAAATATTGAAAGACCCTAATCATCTGCTTACGATTTGAAAGGTGTCTGCGTATTTTACCTGCACACAACTGCAATGTGTACATTTTTTTCGCTGCCATATAAAGAAAATAAAAGCTATAGGAATTACAGAAACGAAATGTTGAGTAGTTGAAATATTAATTACAATAAATTATAGTTTCAGCTTTCAGTTTATTGTTTTATTTAGACATTGTCTACTGTGTCTAATGTCAAAGTTGTACGTAATATGAGTATGTATTACCGGAATTATTTAGAAATTTTCAATAATTAAACATTAAACACATTGTACCCATTTCATTTCATTGTTTTATACATATGTGTATGCAAGCAGGGATTTTTTACATTTGCGGTGTTATGATAAAAATGGTGGTAAAAATGGAAATTGTTACACTTGTGGGCGATTTTTTTTACATCTGTGGTTATTTTTACATTTGTGATTGACATGTTATGACATTTGTGGTTATCTTGACATTTTGGGTACAATGTTTTTACATTTGTAGTTATTTTTACATTTGTGGTGGTTTTTTACATTTGTGGGCTCTACAGGGACTGTCCGACAATGCCCTGGTAAGGTGGAAAATGCGAAAGCCCTTTAAGGCATGTTCAAGAGTATTTGGCGTACCATAAACTCTCCATAGACTGGTGGTTGAAACACACCATTTAATCCGCACGACTGGTGGGTGCATGGGATAGAGTCGCCTGTGATGAGGTTGAGGGCTTTTCGTCGGCATTCATCTCCGTTTCCTTTGCCAACCAATTTAAAAGTAAAATTTAGCGGAATAGCGACGTCCATAGGCCGATTCGTGCACGGAGGTGACCATACATCTTCCTGTGTTACTGTCTCGTTGAACCCCTCGTTACCACATGGGTTAAAAATTATTTCTGTGAAGTTAGCATCCTGCAATAATAATATCAATCGATCAACTATTCAGTTAGTCTATCGATCGATCTATCTATCAATGATCGAGATCAACAGTCAGCATATTGGACGATTCATTAGCATGTCTATTAATCGATCCATACGTCAGTTAGCGTCAATCGATCCATCCATCCATCAGTCGATTAATCGATCGATCCATCAATATTCGATTAATCTTTCGATCCATCTGTTAGTCTAACAATCGATTGATCGATCAGTTAGTCTTTAAATCGATCAATCGATCAACCTATCAGTTAGTCTATCAATCGATTTATCCATCAGTCTATAATTCGATCAATCCATCCATCAGTCTATTAACCGACTGATCCATCAGTTAGGCCTAGTCTATCGATTGATTGACCTATCAGTTAGTCTATCAATCGATCCATTCATCAGTCTATTAATCGTTCGATCCATTAGTTAGTTTATAATCGATCGACCTATCGGTTAGTCTATCAAATCCACCCATCAGTCTATTAATCGACATATCCATCCATCAGTTAGTCCATCGATCGATCCAGCAGTTAGTCTACCAATTGTTCGATCCATCAGTAAGTCTATTAATCGATCGATCTATAAGTTAGTCTATCTGTATTCAATTTCAGTTTATACTGTTACGATATATTGTAACATTTTGTATTTGTGTTCAAAACAAGGAACCCACACGCCATTGGATATGAGAGAGAAATCTATATAATTTGCTCTGTGGTTCATTAGAATACTATTAGGATGCAATACACATTAGATTTTAAATAATGCGTCCTAACTTTTCGTTAGGTAGCAGGCCTAATAGTTCATAAGAATACTTTGACTCACCTCAATAAGTTGAGCTATATACATTCTTTTAGCCTCAACATCGCCATAGCACAAGTAACTATGACTGTAAACGTTATAATTCACTCCATATAAGCGAAGTTTCTTCACACTATCCTCATGAGCAATGTCTTCTGCTTGGGAAGGTATAAACGATATCTGCATAGAAGCGCCCCCTAGATCAAGGGCTCCTATAGTTTTTGGTTCAACAGTAGTGTATAAAGAACGGACGTAACGAGCAAGTGATTTTGGGCTCTGAAATAGAAATAGCATCAGGTTAAGTAAAAGTAATTGAATGGAAACGAATAACAGTCTGATTTATTTATTAATAACGTATTCTTTACTTTTCCAACTAGGAAGAGCGTATTCTTAAACCTGGGAAGACTAATGAATCCTTTTGTTTTACCTTTCGAAGGTGACATAACAAATATGCCTTACACCGCGTATGCTCGGGAACAGAATAAATAGTCTAGGCGTATATTTATGTTCTGTATAGGCTAGAGTAATTGTTTACATGCCTTGACATTTGGCATACTAATCCTCAATTGAAACTACAAGAAGGCTTATATAATCTTGGGAGATAAATGGCATTATCACGTGACTCGCAGGTGCGAATCCAGAGATGTCTGAAAGGGGGCAGAAATTGGGTCGATCGAGATAACCCCACCATAGGGGTCTGGGGGAATTCCCGCGAAATCTTTGTTTCCTAGACACCCGAAAATAACCTCTGAGGCGTTTTGAGTGATCATTTTTTCTCTTTCTTTCTCTCTCTTTTTTGTTTTTGTTTTTTGTTTTTGTTTTCTTTCCAAAAGGCCCGGGCCCCCTCTAAATCCGCCCCAGACTCGCGCTCTTGGTACCGCTTTAAAAGATTGTTGTGTAACCTGCCGTCAGTGCGACCTCAGTACAAGTGCACAAACCAAATTCGCTGCTACGAATACGAACCTTGCAGTGCAGCTACCTATTAAAGACCAAAGTGCTTTAAGCAACGGCTTAGCCTTTTGGGAAAATGTAATGCTTTCAGACACATTCATCTTCTGGAGCTTCAATCGACCGAGCTTTGAGAATAAGCCAAGAGTAGTAAAACTGGCGGCATTGGCTGATAATGTCGATGAGAAAACATTATAAAAATTGTATATTGATTAAGAAAATGGAACGAAGTGGCAGAATTATAATGAAACTGTAGCGAAGCGGGCAACTACAGGAGAAATGATTGAGGCGTTAATACAAATGTGTTTATAATAATCTTACGAATGCAAAAATCCGGATAAATCATAGAAACACGGCATAAAATAATATACCATTTTCAACTAGGCCTAAATTCGCAACAATATCATAATTCATTGTTTTTGTTGGTATATTTTGCACAGACAGATAAATGATTTTTTATTTTACTAATGTTGCCGTTTCTGAGCATTCATTACCGTTGCCTAATATTATATTTTATAAATGTTTCAAATCATATGTGGATGCATCTTCATATAATTTGAATATTATATATATATATATATATTAAAGTATAAGGTTTATATAATTTCAATATAAATATATATATATATAATTTATATTTATACATATATATAATGAAGTATAATTTCAATTTCCATATATATATATGTATATTTAATTTGAATATATATATACTGTGTATATATACTGTATATATATATAATATATAGGCCTATATATATGTATATATAATATAATAGAATGTGTTTGGTATTATGACTATTAGTACCATTATTATACTAAATGTACTTGTGTATCGTATTCAACATGTTAACAAGTGTGCGATTACTTCTTCTAGAGTTTCCATATATATATATATACATATATAATTTATATTTATACATATATATTGAAGTATAACGTTTATATAATTTCAAATTATATATATGTATATATAATTTGAATATATATATATATACTGTGTATATATATAAATTTATACTGTATATATATATATATATTATATATAGGCCTATGTATATATATATATGTATATATAATATAATAGAATGTGTTTGGTATTATGACTATTAGTACCATTATTATACTAAATGTACTTGTGTATTCAACATGTTAACAAGTGTGCGATTACCTCTTCTAGAGTTTCCATGACATAGTTCAGCATAATCCATCCGGAAACACCCTCTTCACTTCCGTCGATGATGCGGGCGTCGTTATCGTTAAGAAATTCAAGCATAGTATTCCGGAGATACTTCCGGACCCACCAGAATATTGCATCACTTATAGTGGAATTCCGCTCACTAAAATAAGAACCATAATCGTTGCACATTTTAAGGCTTCTTAGGCATAACTATTTTAGGAGTGGAGTTGAATAGTTGGTGACTATGATGCTTGCCTTCCAATCCCAGGGTCCTGGGTTCAATTCCTGTCAGTGTTGCAGGATTGTTCTCACGACTAAAACAACTCACATTGAGTTTTACTTTGTGTAAAACATCGTGTGTTTATGTCCGTCTTGTGAAAGGGATTGTCACCTAGCCCTACAGGTAGGACAATGATATATTTTCTATCTTTGGCGCATGTATGTGTGTGCGCCGAAATAAATAAATAAATAAATAAATATAGATGTGTATAAGAGACAGGTATTATTGCGTCGCTTTCTTTCCATACCCTCACGTATAATATGCACGCATGCCCGGGTGGTATATAGTATTTGGTGCATTCGTTAGTTTTCCTTAATTATAAACATAACATAAAAACACTGTTTTGATGAAAAATACATATTGCCATATTACCGTACAGTGCCCTGCAGGCCTGTACTGGGCCTAATTTTCAACCCACGTGTACGTATTAAAGTACGTGTTCCTTTTGTACAAATTTGTAAAACTTACAACCCTTTACGAGCATTTTTATGGAACACACGAAAGCAAAATGTCCCCCGGTTGCCTTGGAGGTGTGTGACTCAACGTGCTATCGTGTGTGTATTCATCAATACATGTTAGGCACGGAGGTATAAAATATCTTATTTTATACTTCTGTGTGTTTGGTAGTCCTTATATAGGCCTAATTAAGCACCGTTTTTTGAGAGATGCGCAATTCCTTTTATTCACATTTTTTTAAATACTGTAAAGGCCAACTCAGACAGCGTCGTACGACGCAGCCCGACGCGATTCATCATCGGGGACAGTCTTGAGCCGTCGTGAGAAATATTAAACCTGTTTAATATTCTACGACGCAACTGCCATCGACGCAAACCATCGCGTCTGCGTTTAACTCACATAGACCCGACGCGGCAACAAATCGCGTCGAGCTGCGTCGTACGACACTGTAGTAGGCAGTTTTCGCCGCACGACGTTAACCTTAACGTTAACGGATGACGTCATAATTTATTCATCGTACGTTAATTTCAGGATTATACGTGCTCGACGTACGTTAGTTACGGGTTTGCGCATGTGTATTTCGATTTGTTTACAAAAGGGGCGGAATTTCGCTGCATGTTGGGTATTACGTTAAGTTAAGGTTAACGTCGTGCGGCGAAAACTACTACTATCTCGTATTGTCGTAGTCTGCGCAACTCTATTACACATCAGGGTGTCCCAAGTCTCCCGGAACTCGCGGGAGTCTCCCGGAAGTCGGGATGACCTTCCGCACTCCCGCAAACAAGCAAGATTCTCCCGGAAATAAGCCATCTCCCGCAAATTCATAAAATAGGTAGTTTTATGAATTTGTTTGTTTGTTTGTTTTGTTTGTTGATGGTGGCGCGCGAATGTGAAGTGGGTTGCTCGATGATCAGTTGAGGGGCGCTAATTCGCAAAATATGGTGATTTTAAGTGATTTTTAACTACTTGACCGATTTTTGGGGGGAGGGGTGACTGGGAGAGCGAGTAATTTTGTTGGGGAGGGGCGTGCACCCCCGCGCCCTAGATACGCCGCTGCGGCTGCTAGGTAGTCACGGACCACGCCTATACGCAGTTCAGCACAATGACGTGCAAGTTATGGGTTATTCTCCTACCTTACCTTTACCTTTATTTGCATAGTTGTCATACTGTCATTGTTTTTGTGATATATACTTGACCCTCCCACTTGTTGCAGGGTATACATTGACGAGAAATTTGCGGAAATTAAATATTAGCGAACACACTTGACATTTGGGCCAAAGGCACTTACTGTGAAACTAAATCCAGTGCTCGATAAAACCTAGATTGCATTAGGCCTAACATAAAAGCAGATATCACAAAGATAGGCCTAGATTATTTATCATCTGATTTGCTAGTTTACATCTATCTACATTTTTTTGTTTATAGTATAATTTACATTTATATTTGTCAGATTATCACATTTATAAGATTTCAATAATAATAATAATAATAATAATAATAATAATAATTATTATTATTATTATTATTATTATTATTATTATTATTATTATTATTATTAGGCTATACTAAAAATGTATAAAGTGCCGGTATATCCGTTTATCGTTCATGGCACCCCTCCACAATAAGTAAAAATATGAAAGAAAAGGAAATAAATAAATATATATATATATATATATATATATATATATATATATATGTATGTATATAGAGGCCTATATACATATATAGGCCTATATATATATATACTGTATATATATTATGTATATATATCTTTAGATGCACGTCTGTATGAATAAGCTAAATTTGGAATGTGTACTGGGAGAACGTTCCTAATATATTGAGTCCTAAATGTGTGGTGGTTTTAAGTAAAAGTTGAGTGATTTAAAATAATGATAATGATATGATAGAGATAAACTCCAAACTTTAATTTTTCTAAATTTCTGCGCCAGTATCCGTTTAACGTTCATAGCGCCCCTCCACAAGAAGTTAACGATGCGAACATGAGATAGCGAAACCCGATTGGAATGTCCATAGCTGCATGATACATTATTATGTTCTGTGAAGAATCATGTGAGACATAGATAGCGATGGAAGGTAGGTCCCATTCTATGCTTACCAACTAAATTGAAAATTTTTTGAAAGGTTCAATGATAATGTCCCTCGCAGCACAATGCTATATTTTCCACGATTCCAATGCTCAAAATAGTATTTCCTATGGATACATAAGCAATGATTTTGCGCACGCGCGCATCAATATTGAGAATTTAATATCACGATTAGCGTGACATCAACATTGTGAATAATGGATGCTGTTATTCAATTTAATGCGTCATGTAAATGCGGCCACGTACTTCTTCACAGTCAATCAAGAACAAAATACAATATAAGTCGACGCCATCCAGATCTCTGAATGTTCTCCCGAATTAGTTTGACAGATTGAAAGTTCTATTTCAATCAAAACTAACAAGTGACCTGTCAGAGCAGGGCTAGGAATACGCGCTTCCCCACCCAAGTAATACGATAGTCAAACAAATGCACGTGCTTACATGTGTTTACGCTGTCGTTTTATGCCGAAAAAGCGGGACTTAGCGGAACGGTGCATTTAGGCTTAAACGTTTGAAAACAGCAGAAGGCAAACCGAAAACAAATCTTTACGAAACAAAATCGAACTTTAACCTTATACACTGTTAATCAGATGACTTTCAAACAATTTATTATTTTACTTTTTATTGTCGTCAGACACAAGTAGGCCAAATTGGTCAATTGAAGGATGGATATAAACTAATTGGTCTGAAAGAAATTTTTAATATTATGTGACGTCATGGATAGATAAGTTTTGAGTCGCTTACTTGTGAACAGGCCTATTCTGAATTATTTGCAACGATAAGCCATGAATATCGGAATGGAAACAGATCACCTTAACCTGGATAGTACAAACTCAAATTACATGATAAATGTCTTTAGAGCCTAAAATCATGTCAGATATTGAGTAGCATAAATTCTTTTTTTATAACAACTACAAATATACGTCCTACATTTTACGCAGACGTGCGATATAAATCTCGGTAATGCACTTTGATCCACCCATCTTTATTATTCTATTGAAATGAAAACCAATATTGCACATGTTATTAAGATTTCAATCAATATGACAGGTAGATAATCGAAACAGATTTAACCCGGCTTTTCAATGTATTTTAACAAAATATAATGTACATTATATGTGTTTTAGATTAATCGTTTTATTATATTTGTAGTCCTTTCCAATTTTATTAATCAGAAGTCTCGGCGACCTAATAATAGGGCCTATATTATTGTCATACCAAAATGATATTGTCATGTTATGTGTTGATTACTTGGGCCCACAAGCCATCAACCTCGGGTAAGTCGAACACAATTTGTATTTGTACTTTTGATATTGTGTGCTGAATGTTTAATTTAATAATATGGAGAAATGACTGATCCAGTGATTCGAAAAAGAAGGGAGCCGGGAAGGACTTTCACAGGTGGCGGAGGGAGGGGTGGGGTGTGGGGGGAGTAGGTGGTTGGAATTGAGGTAAGTAAATTTATGATTACCGCACCTGTAGGTGGCCGGAATATATATATATATATATATATATATTTTCTTTTTTCTCCAACTCGAAAAGAAGCCCATTTAGAAAAGATACCCATCCGAAGTTCGCAAATATAAAGAAGAAACCCAGGGCTTCAAATTCGAGGTTTTGCGGTATTGTGAAAACAAAATGTCAGTATTGTTTTCTTAATAGGCCTATATTTAATTTTCGTGAAATTACCGTCTGCTCCATGCGCCTCCCGCTCGAATGCATACCCAAGGTCTATGATATGCAAATAGGTCTTATTCTGTAGCCTGTTGGTTGTGAAAGAATTACGATATGCAACGATTAATGACTATACTCATTTCACCTTGTTGATATCAGACATCCCGATAAGTCTTTCAATATTGATTATGGATTGAATTCGAGATTACGGTTTTTGTCTTCGGGTGTATGTTGGAGAATACCGTAACAGGCTATTAGATATACAAGTGCTTTTAACATGAGCGCAGATCATGGGAGCCCTCCCCCCACCCACATATTCTTGAGGGGGGTGATCCCCCAGACGTTTCAACTGAAATGTAATTTCATAAGTAAATATGCCTGAAAGTTGTTGAAATGAATTGCATACGGTAAATGACCAGAAAAAGCGCTGACAGCTAACGGCGGCGGAACGATTGTGAAAGTTGGGGAGCCATGTCATAAGGTCCAAATGCGAGCATCTAGGCTGAGGGCCACGGGCGGCTCTTTGACGAATTTTGGTGAATTTTATTAGTTATTGTATAGGCATCAAACTACTGTAATATGACTTCATAATTGTTGTAATTTCCAGAGGCGGATCTAGGAATTCAAAATATAAGGGGCCCGGGCGGGGGGTACCAGCAGCGGATCCAGGAATTTAAAATAGAGGGGGCCCGGGGAGGTAGGCCTACTTTCACAGTATGGATGATCTATACCACCTCAGCCCAATCCATGTGTGGGG